TAGTTTCTGTTGGCGTAATTGTTACTGTAGTTGTTGTTTCTGGTGATGTTGTAGTGGTTACAGTTGTTTCTTCAGTTGTTGTTGGAACTTCCGTAGTCGTAGTGGTTGGGACAGTTGGAGTTTCCGTAGTAGTTTCTGGTGTTGGCGTAGTTGTTGGCGTAGTTGTAGTTTCCGGCGATGTTGTCGTGAGAACAGTTGTTTCTTCAGTTGTAGTTGGAATCACGGTAGTAGTAGTGGTTGGTACAGTTTGAGTTTCCGTAGTAGTTTCTGGTGTTGGCGTAGTTGTTAGCGCAGTTGTAGTTTCCGGGGACGTTGTCGTGGTTGCAATTGTTTTTTCAGTTGTAGTAAGCGCTACAGTAGTTGTAGTGGTTGGTATAGTTGGACTTTCCGTTGTTGTTTCTGGTGTTGGTGTTGTGGTCGTTGTTGTTGTTGTCTCTAGCGATGTTGTTGTCGTTATTATTTTTATTACTTCTTGATATGCAGTAAGTTCTTTCTTAAAATAATCTTCTGTGGTGGGTTCTGTTTCAGTCCAGCGTGGTACTCGTAATTTTATATGCATTCTTTCTGGTGTACGGAATCTGTATGTTTCTACTGTTGTTGTAGGTGTTGCAATATCGATTTGTTCATCTTGCCAATTCAGTGTTGTCTGTAATATATCTATTTCTTTTTGATGTTCAGTATTATATGTTAACTGTGATTCAATATATGGTTCTGTCGTTATTATTTGTATCACTTCTTGATACGCAGTAAGTTCTTTGTTAAAATAATCTGGTGTTATTTCATTTATGTCTCTTCTGATTCTAGTACTCCTTTTTCTTCTTTTTTTAACGAAACTAGTTGTTTTTTTTGGAATTAAACTTAATTTCAATATGTGATGCAGAGCTAATGTTTGACTTGTGAATGATGACGTAGTTTCATTGGCGTTTTGTACCTGAGATGCTTCCACCAATTTTGGCAATAAAAATGTTTTATTCCATTGATTTTCTAATTTAATTTTTTTATCAATCGGAGAGCTTTGATTCATTTTTTTTCTCTTAGTACGAAAAAACATGTTTTCTGATTTAATTGGTCTTTTTAATTTTTCATGAGCGTGCTTTAAATGCGATTCATAATTAACTGTAATTGATTTCAGATTCCTGACTAATCGATGATGCGGCTTGCTATAAGTACTTATAGATGAAAAATCGGCGCAAAAGCGTGGATGAATATAATCTGTGAAAGGATAAGGATAACTGACTTCATGATTCCTCATAGGAACAGACTTCGATTTGTACCGTGCCTCTTCGATATTTACTAAACTTAAATCTTTCTTAGACATCCGATTGAAATTTTCTTCCACTGTATTACTGTTATTTTTTAATATTGTTTTTCTCCGCCATTGTTTGAGAATCGCCGACAAATCAGTGCATTCGACTTCATATATGTCTCCTTGCTTGTTATTTGTTAAAATAATTTCTTGCAATACTTTCACTGTTTCCGTAGTATAAAAATTAACATTCTATAATACACAACATTACTTAATGATAGTAACAATTCGATCATGATTAACATTAATCGCAATTGCCAATTGGTTATGATCTTTGACATTAATAGTTGTCGACGTTACCAAAAATGGTTTACTATTAAATATTTATGGCAATGCTTTTTTGGATTGTTCGACACAGAAGTGTACTTACAGAAATATTATCCATTTTTGTGCTATTGTTATAATAAATAGAATGATTATCAATTTTTTCGATAGTTGCACAAGCGTTATCTGCTGCTATTATCATATATATCGCAATCAATTTACAAGTCACAATAAGGAATATATTTTGCATAGCGTCATATCACGCACGTTCATTGATTGTCTCGCACTTTTTTAACGCATCCTTATAAATTCTATAGCGAATCATCGTCGCATCAAAACGAACTTATCTCGTCACGCGAACGTATCTTTACGTTTTAGTGTAGGTCGAGCGCATATTCCATCGATTTACATTTTCGATTCACGAATTAATTCATTTCATTGAATATATCGATGTATATTTTATATACTTTTAAATGCAATTTCACGAGGTTCATACATATCAATTATAGTAAAATAGAGTTACTTTTATCATGAATATGAAGTTATATGAAATTTTTGAAGAAGAAAATAATTTTAATTTTTTTTTATGTAATAAGTTTTATATAGCATGCGAAGTAAATGAAATAGCCGGTATAAAGCATTTTTAATGAAATAAAATACATAATTTTCAAAGAAAAATTTTCAAATAATTGAATAAATGCATAAAAAAATAACAAAAAAATTTGTAAATTATATAATAATTATATAATATTATTTTATTATATTATATTATATAACTATTTAAAATAAAATTATTATTTACATGTTTATATGTATTTATATTATGTACAAAATTAATATAAATAATAATTTCATTCTAATAAATAATTTATTTCTCTTTTATTATTTTTTCCATTTTTTTTATTTTCATATGTTTGTTTTTGGAATAAGAATGAAAGTAAATTAATTATTTATATACATCATAAGGATTGATCAATTAAACTAAAAATTTTTATCGATCAATAGTTGACACTAATTCTTTCTTAAATGCTTCATCATTCTGACTAAAATAACGAATAGTTAAAAGGTTATGTGAAACAAAATTGACATTTACTTTTAAACATACCTTAATGGTAATAACTCGATATTAATATTGATAATATATTAGTCATTAATTTTGACGATTTAGAGCTTAATAATATAACATAATTTAAGCGCAGTGTTTATTTCCAAAAATAATACGAATATAAATTGCTTCTTGCATTTACTTTTAATAAAAGTAATGCTATGATATTGGAGTCCATTTTTTCCTGCACGAATCTACTTTTAACATGTGGATCTTCTATTTATATTCTGATAAGACACTCTTATACACAATATTCGAAATTTTTCACACATTTGACTTGTGCTTGTGTCAGTATTGCAATGATTGGTTCTCGATCCTTGATCGTTCTTTTGTACAAACTTTTCATTAAGGAATACTGTAAGTATTATTTATCTTATTTTAAGCATCATTTCGTATTAAAAATATTTAATCTTTATGTTTCAGCCTTCGATCCAGATATGATGGAGATAGAGGAAGAGAGGAACAAAGAACGATTTAACATTTTAGACGAGCTGCTTGGTACTTTGAGCATGACGGGGTTAATTTATTCTCTATATTGTTGTCACGGATATTACATACTCGGTGTCTGCGTTGTAACTAGCTTATCAATTTTTAACGTGATCAAATTATACCACATGATAAAACAATTAGAGGTATTCGTTTCTTAGAGATTCTCTAAAAAATTTTTTTAACTTTTTATACTTTTAATTTCTTCATTTAATTTTTGAGTTTAATCCTCGATTGTCACAATAGATTATCCAGATTTTATTTCAATTTTTAATCAACTACTAAAAAAAATTAAACTACTTTTCGAAAAATATAGCAATATTATCGAATGGAAAATATTTGTAATAAAGAAAAAGTTTCTAACAATTAAATCGATATCATATCAAACATCTTCATCAAGAAATTCTTCAAATTTTTTAAAGTACGAAAATATCTTTTTCCAATATCAAATCGTTTCGATTGAGAGAGGATAACCTAGGATTAACGACTTTGCGAATTTTAAATTTGTTAACGCTTTTTATTTAATTTTATTTAATTTTTCATTAAAAGAATAGAAGATGATATATACCCTATAATGTATTTTAATTTTTCATTAAATTTTTTGATTGAATTTCAATTTCAGGAAATGGAAACGTCACGTTTCTACAATACTTTACAACAACAAACAAAAACGATATCAAAATTTAATGTTTTCAATTGGGTAATTGTTGGAGGATGTTTTGCGTAAGTGCAATGATTTATTTCTAATTAATTAAACAGATGTTTAATTTCTCGTATCATTCAGATATGTAGTAGGTAACAATTACGCGATAGTGGCAAATTATCCTTTGCTCCTGGCAAATTGGGCAATGGTTCCAGAAGGATTTTATCAAGGATGGACGATAAATCGTGCTATTAATGATTACCTGATGGCAACTTATATCATGTGCATGACAGAAGCTCTTCGACAAACGAGCACATTATAATTATACAGGATGATTCCTAAACTATAAAGGCATAATTTAAGAACAAACATTGGAAAAAAATATTATACAAAGTTTATTCGTCAAATATTCATCAAATACAACAAATTCTGCATTAGAGATTATAAAAATTCACATTGAAGTAAGAATTTAAATATTTTACGATTAAATATTTAAATATATAACGATTCTTATAGATTTGAAAATATTGTATAAGATAAAAATAATCGAATTTTCGTATTTTTTAAATGCAGAATTAAATGTATATATTATACATAAACTTTGTATAAAATTTTTTTTCTTATTTACTTATTTAAGTTTCATGTATTTATGATTTGAATAAATTCTAGAATCAAAAAAGAATTTCCTGGTAGATTATTAGATTATTAGGGCCTTTTATTCCCAAATATGCTGTCGTTAAATTAAATAATCTACACAAGTGGCCTTTTAATTATATTCCTCATCATTCTCTTTATATTTATATTATTGAAAAATGTATGCTTGGCATTAGTGCTTAATGACTTTGTAAATGCATAGGGCCCAAAAAAAAACCTAAGAATCGATTTTAGATGCTCTTATAGTTGATATATAGCAATTTTATAGCATTATTTAATTTTTTGATAATTTTACATTAATTGAAAGAACTAAATAAAAATTCTTGTTTTCTAATTTTAATTATTTTGTAATCGATAACAAATATGTTAACTAAAAGAATATTTAGATTTTAATATAAAACAGGCATAATTGAAATATGTTATAATGTTCAATTCAAGAGATATATTTAACTCGATCATTGTTACCATTTCCAACATATCATTGAAATCCATATCTTGAATTCATGTTTATATTTGGTACATGTATCGTTTCAGTTCATTTGTGGATTAGTTGAGGATTAAGCATCCATCCGATGATTAATTTCATTGTATCATCATTACATAATATTTACATCGAAACAAAATTGAAATTATATACAATTTGAATAATTGGATGAAATGAATCCGAAGTTGGATGGTGATCGTTCAAATTTTATTTCGTTTACAACAATCACAATTTTCTTTACAGGCTTAACATACGCTCTTAACGTTTTATTATGTACAAAAAATTGTATATCTATCAAATACAATAAGTTTTAGTACAAACGACAGTATCACGTTTAGAAGAATGAAAGAAGTGTAAGCGTCGTCGCTATGATCACTGTCACGTACACGCATGAATGAGAACGCCTACTCGTTTGATACGACAACGAGTTTAACAGGATTATTGCATCCGATCAATAATTTAGGGAATTATTATTCTCTAAAATCGTTCGCTAGTGTACGTATGAGAGAAACTGCGTTAAGAAATACTCACCGGTCAGTTCATTTATCTTAAATATCTAATTACGAGTAAAAAAAAAAAAAGAAAGAAAAAAAAAGAAAAGAAAAGAAAAACGAAAAAGGAAAAAAGAAAAGAAAAGAAATAAAAAAGAAAGACAATGATAAAAATATTTCTTCAGGACTGTCTTTAATTTGTTTAAGTTTAGTGACCTTTGAGTCATTAATAAAAAGTTCCTAGCTTGTTTAAAATTTTCTAAAAATTAAAATTTTAGACTTTTAGATAGACTTTTAGACTTTCCAATTTTTATTCTTTTTATTCCCGTGTTCTTTTTTCTATATTTCTTCTTTATATTTCAAAGAAGAAAGAAACTTCTTTTTTCTTTTAATAAATAATAAATAAAGAGTTTAAAGACGGCCCTGTTTCACTTCTTTATAAATTAATCTACTCGAAGGCAGTCTTTTATTCTTCTATTCCACTTTACGTCGTATATAATCAGATAATTAATAGATAATTACTAGAAAAAATATTTAAATGAGCGGCGATATTTAAATGGGATCCTATTGCTCTGGTAAAAAAGTAAGTAGCTATTCCTCCCATCTTTATTGATTATCGTTTCTGATGGCAGTGGAATATTTGAGATAGCCATGGTCATTGTTCATCTGCAAAGGATCAAAAGGGTCAAAACAATTTTTCGTTGCCTAATATTTTAAAGAATTTCTTAATATTTAATCTTATCTCCAATCTTTGATTTTTAATGTAACACAGTTAAAAATAATATAAAAGTAATAATTAACGTGATATTTTACTTCAATTTTATACGTAAAGTATTTTTTGAGATATTAAAAATCCTTTTGATTATTAAAACGAGAAAATGATTCGAAAAACGTAACAAAATATTAAATTATTTTAATATATTAATAGTTCATAGATCAAAAAGATAAAAATCTCAATGATCTATTAGAATTATTAATTGATTGATTCATGATTCATTTTAAAATATGAATACTTGAAATAATCCAGAAACATTTCAAACTACATTTCATTGAATGGATAAATTACCAGTCATATAAAAAGAATTTTAATATATTCGTAGAACATATTGGAGGCCAAAACAAATTATATCAATTGAAACTTATTCATTAAGCTTATTTAATAAGCAATTTGCATTAGATGAAACGGGACAGAATTAGAGCAAGACGATAGTGTGTCACTTTGTCTCCACCTCATTTCATTTAATCATCAATTTTTATATTTCAACTTCTAGAATCGAGTTTTCAAAAGTGTCCCATAAATACACATTAACATCCTGAATAAATTATAATATGACAATACTCATTTATCAACATTTTTTTACAAAAATTACGTACGTTTTGAAAAAATTTCGAATCAGATATTGTTCTGTTCTCTCCACGCGTTCTGACTTAAACTGTGAAGTCTGAGGCTGCTTCCAGTATTTTCGTCCGGTTCGTAGCTCGGGTTAGTGTGGCCACTGTGTCCCTCGAACACATCCTTAACAGAAATCTGGCTGCTTCTCGATGGGCGTCCTTGAATTCCCAAAGGATTGCCCGCCACTCCGTAAATGTTATTTGCCCCTAAAGTTTGCATCTGCGACTTCCTTTTCATCGCCATTATACTATTCCTACGGCCCTCGAATGCCTTGAAAGCCTTTGCGGAGCGTCTGGTCGACATGTTTCTCGGCAGACCTAAATCAGAGAATTTCATTAACGAATATTCCCTTCAGTCGTGAAATCAAGATGTTGCTACCGTTTGATTAACATAGCATGTTCCTTGTGTTAATAATCTAACCACCTGTTATATTCTATTAAGCATAGAATTAAAAATTGATTTAAATTATAGACTTTTTTGTTATTTTATTATGTAATGAAATCAAAAATATCATGATATTTTGTAAATATTGAAGAATAACGTAAAATTTTAGAATTTTATTTTTCAGCCATATATAATAAAATTATTGTATAGAAATTAAATAACGGAAATTTTTTTTTAAACAAAAAGATATAAATAACGCACCATTGCCTTCAGACATGCTGAAGAATCGTTGCCTGAAAGCGACGTCAAGCGTATTGATTGCCTGTGTTTTCCTTCGACTCTTTTCAATATTTGTTATCGTCTTTCTCCTGCCTGGGCCGGTACCACTATCTTCTTCATAATCACCCTCCATTCCGTCTAATCTTTGCAAATCTCTGACTATTTCCACCGCGTGTTTAGATAACAACGCTTCTTCGGACAAATCCTTGGTCTGATTAAAGGGAAGCATAGAAAAATGTGAATGGAAAACATAATCGTTGTCTTAGATGTTTTACATCAAGGAGATAAAATTGAACTTTAAACGAATTATAATCGTTTGTGAAAGTAATAATTTTGACATGTTATTTTTTCTAACTTTTTAAGTTTTCAAGAAATAGTACTCTACGAATTCAAATAACACAGTTAAAATGCAAGAATTTAAATGTAATAATTAATTGACTAGAAATCATAACGATAATGAAAAACGAAACTAAAGATACAATGCTTTTTATTTTTAACTTTATTTTATATTGTTTGAAGAGTCATTTTTTTAAATTTTAAGGATATCTAGATAGACGAACATTTTGTAATTGTTAAAATAATGAACGATATTAAACGAGAAAACTGAAGATGAAATACTTACCTTCTTGCAACAATACCAATCCAAACTGGTGCTGGCTAAAATGTGGGCGAATGTGCCGAATCGATGGAACAACATCGCAGTGAATTGAATAACCAATATCAATGCGAAGAAGAATACGAATACCAAACCAATTGGCTCGAGTTGAAGGTACTCTTTCGTTACGTACACCTATGAGATACATTTGTCGTTAAAAAAAATACGTTGATAAATAAAGAAGAGTGACGGAATACAATTGAAAACAGAGATAGAAAACACATAAAAGAATTCACAGTTTTCATTGCTATGTTTCATTGTTACCTCGCTACGAAGCAAAATATTGTAAAAAATAACGAATTATAAATGTAAAATGTAAAATACGCAATATTTACAAATAAAATATAAATAATTGAGAGAAAACAGAAAAATAGTACAAGTTTTTATTTTCTACAAAAATAAAATTGTAAAAAGTTTGTTTAGAAAATTCTTTCGTATATATCTTTTTCAAAAATGTAATAACATTCATAATTAAATTTTTAATTAATCTGTATTTAATTTTCCTTTGAATCCTTTAATTTTGTCCAATGATACGTAATGAAGTAACAACAATTAATTTCCTGAATGTACATAACGATTAATGTATTTCTTGTTAAATTCAAGTTAGAATTTAAAAAATTTTAAACAATTTGAATTTTCATATTTCAATTTTAATAAGCTTCGTTCTCTTCCTTCTTTTCAAGAAGAGGAATTTAATCTTTTCATTTTGAATATAACATAAGAATCAAATAAAATTAATTATTCGTTAGTACAAACGGAATCAAATGTAAAATAGTTTTCCAAACACATATATTATAACACGTATAAGCCACCGTTTAGTTACATTGATAGTAACTCGTTAATGGTGCTCCTCTGCTGTCATACCTAGCAGTGCGTTATCGGAATTAGACACAAAAGAGATAAATGTGAAATGAAAACCTGTGTAATTCCTCCCTCGTTCGTATTCAGGAAAATGAATGGAAAAAAAAAGGTATTCAAGAATAGTTCTTTTGGCTCTTTCGTGATCCACAAACTGTGCACGTGCTAGTTGCTTATTGAAAACCAAGAGATGAACGTCTCATTCGAATGTTCGATCATGAGAGAATTAGAAAGTGTTGGAAAATCTAGAGAACGTTGAAAGAGAATTGAGAAAATTAAAGGAATTCTCAAATTTTCTTGGAATTCCATTTGATTTCACATTTTTAAATATTATTAAATTATGTAATTTAAGATTAATTTAAACACAATTTGAAAATATTATTAATTACTATAGAACGTTTTGTTATTGAAAATGAAGTATATAAAAGTCTCAATTTTAAAATAATTAATCAGATTTGAAATTTTTCCTTGATTAATAAAAATAATATTAAATTTTTTTCTAATTTAATATTAAAAAATTTATGATTGAGATTGAGTAAGATTTTTATATTTGTTCTCCAGACTTTGATGATATTAATCAATAAATATCAATGTTAGAATAAAAGATTTCACAATATCAGCAGTTGCGTTTAACCTTTTCCCGCTTAATTTTATTCTTATTACCATATTATCGTTATTAATAATTAACAAAGAAAAGAATTTATCTCAGAGGAAAAAAAATTAAAAAAAAATTAAATGCTGAAAAGATTAAAGATCACACAATGACCACAATTTTATTTTCGAAAGAGAAAACGAGGAAGGATGATGGGAATTTTAATTAACAAGGCGACGATGTTATTTGTGACTTAGCTAACTTAGTCAATTGCTTGGTTCCGCCCCAGGTTTTCCATTCGTTCCGAGGGTACCTGTGCAAACATGTTAATGGTAACACACTCCACGTGCTCCACATAATCCACGTTATTGACAAAACATAGACATGTCCCAGCAAGTGCAACATTATTACCGGGCACCATTATCCAGCGTGCTCCGATGCTCACTGTAAAACTATAATTCTTTTGTCTGTGTATTAAAATTAAATGTCTTCTAAAATCTTTTTCAATCTTTAGCAATTTCTTTACTTTCTTTAAGAGAAATAATATAAAAAGAAAAGAGAAACATTGATGAATTTTAATTCAATTTAAATTGAACTTAAACATCGTTGAACGATGTCGAGTAGAATTGTATAACACGTGATAAATATTATAATTATTTTGTACTATTTTTAAAATGTAATTTTTGTTACGTCATTTGCTTATGAATTTATTAATTATATATTTCGCTACGAATAAATTAATACAGAATTAGTTCTTTTATTTAATATCTTAAAATTTATTTTGATTCTGATTTCCCTAGATTTTAAGTATATCTAGATTTTGATCATATGATTTTGTTTGTATCTACTGATGTATTTTTCAAAGCATGAATAATTTTAGCTTAATGAAAAATCTGATGATCAAATTGTAACTTTATTAATAAATATTTAAGTAATAGAAATTGCTAAATATTAAATAATCACGTAAGAAGCAACTCTGTGAGTAAATCTATGTTTGAAATCTCAACTAAAAATAACAATAAATATAAAACGTTTAAAACTTAAAAGCTTAATTTTTTATTAAATCTAAATGGAAGCTCTAAATTGTCTATATCTTCTATTGTTAAATCTATCGATGTAGCACACATTTATAAAAATTACACTTAAGAAAAAGAATCTCTGAAATAATATCATAAAATACATATTAAAATTCAGGAAAAAACGAAGGGTCCAAGTTTAATTCGACGAATATTTCTTCTTCCTTTAAATGGCCATGTGTTAACGATAATAATAATAACGTAAAAAGAAAAGTAGAGACGGGTTGAAACTTAATTTTTATAATTACGAAATTCGAGTCAAAAATTTTAAGATATCTCGAAACTTATGAACTTCAACTCTTAAAATCCAAAATTTTCCAGAAGGAATATTTATCTATCAATATTCAAAAATTGTAATCTTCCAAGAATTATAATCTTAACCACTTAACTTTTAATTTCAAAACGTCTAAGGTCTAAAATTTGCATTTATTAGTACTCACTTAAAAATTTATATCATCAAAATATATTTAAGTTTTATACAAAACTTTATCTCAAGAGTTTCGAGTCACAACGAAAAAAAAATTGAAACAAAAATTCCAAGATTCGAGAACTCCTTTTAATTTCCAAGTTTCGAGTATCTCATTTCTAATAAGAACGAACGATAAAAAAAAATAGAAAAAAAAGTGTAATATAAAATCGCGAGCAACGGAGCACACGGAGGTGTTAGTCTCCCGAGGCATCAGTGAGACAGCATCTCTTGTTTTCTTTTTTTTTTTTTTTTTTTGGTAACACTACCAGGTACCTCCCCGTCTTCTTTCATGGTGATATTCTCCTTAACGCCGAGCGGCCAGACAACGTGCAACTGATCTTTGTTCAGTTGCAGTAAGAATACAATCAGAACGAACAACGCATTGAACATAAAAAACGCGTACACACTCTTGTTCCGTAGCTCGATTAGGTCGCCGGCAATACGTGCCTGTTGATCGTTGATCAGGGAGAAGAGAAAAAAAGAGAAACAAAATATCGATTAGCAATGATATGAAAAAAATTACGCTCCGTCCGGTCGATCGTTGATCCATCGGCTCCTTTCGAGGAGAAGAATCCTCAGTCAGAGATCATTTCGATTCTCGAGAGTATCACTTTATCATCTAAAAAGCTTTTGGATAGAAAGCGATGTAGAAAATAAAGTAAACAATGCTATGATTTTTGGCTGCAAAACAGTTTGAATGCTTTGAATGCTTCTTCTATATGATAATTTTTCAATGAAGTGTTTAATTTTTAATCAAATTTCTTTTATGTGGATACTTGATGCTTTTATATTAATCTGGTATTTTAGTATTTAGATGTACGAAAGAATCTTTCCAGCATTTTAAATGTTTTGCTGCCAAAAAAGAAATTAATTCTTCTTTTTTCTTTTTCAGGGGAATAGACATCGAAGAAGCAGGACAACTCGACGTGGACGGAGCGGTGTTTACCTCGTGCAAGTTATCGGCATTAAAGCTGATGTTCGTCTTGATACCAAAAGGCCACTTCACGTGTAACAAATCTTTGTTTAGTTGGAGCAGAAAGACGATCAGAACGAAGAGGGCGTTCATCATAAAAAACGCGAAAACGCTCTGGTCACGTAGGTCCTTTAGATCTTTGGCGATTCGTGCCTGACGTATGTAAGGAACAAGTAGCATGGATTTGGTTATTTTCATTTTTCTATTACAAGTATTAAAAATTTCCCTTATTTCATATTTAATCGAATGGGGAGGGGAAATTTTGTAATTCTGTTATTACTATTTTATTGTTTTCTGTTTTTTTTTTTTAAATATATACTTTAACTTATTTTAAGGAAGTTTGAAAACTTTTAAAAATTATTATGTAAAAAATACTGTAAAAAAGTATTTGATTAGAAAATTGAAAAGAATATTAAAATATAGTTATTTTCATTACTTAATTTAATTATTCTATGAAATACTTTATTTATTACTTAGAAATAAATTTTTATGAACGATCTGATAAAGCATATAAAATGAAATTAATAATTTTATCAGTTTCAATGCTAATCTCTTCTTCTAAAGAATATATTCAATTAACACGTATTATTAAAAACTAAATTTAAATAATAAAAATAACAAATAGTATAAATTTGCAAATATATAATAATAATTTACTAACTTATACACTTTCAAAATTCTATTATTTCAAATTTCTCGAAACTATTAAAAAATCTACATTTAATTAAACTAGAAAGAAAAATAGATGAAAATACTTCTTTCAAATTAAAAAAACAATAAATTTAAAACTTATTGAAATAATTGTGTTTGAAGTAAAACTTCTTACCTTTTCTGCCTTATCCTCGTCTATGGGATACAGATACTTTTCCAGAAGATCCTTCCAAAATTGTTCCTCTTGCATTGACAGAACATCGATTTCGCCTTTCTTAAGCCCTTCGTCGCTCAGCCAATAAGGTCTGCTAAGGAAGTTGCTGCCCTCGCGATTGCCTTCCGTATTTTGACTAGTCACAGTTTCTGGTTCGCTTTGACCGTCTTGACCCTCCGCTGGATCTTCGCCAATGGCGCCCAAATGATCGCCTCGAGAACCAACAGAGGATGCACGGCGTCGACTCGTCACTCCATGAGGATCCACAGCTCTAATAAATAAAATTAAAAAGCGTTTTATTTCATTTTAATAAAAATAAATATAATACTTTATTTATTTTACTTTATTTTAGAAAAAGAATTCGGTGAGAATATTAATAAAATATCAAAAATATATTAAAAATATATTATATAATATAAAATATTTAATATGATGAATCTTTTGAATTGTTATTATAAATAAATAACTACTGAAAATTTTATAAAATATTTTATATAATAATCGTAGTAAAAGTAAAAATAATGCGATCTAAAAAGATTCAAAAACATTATAACAGAAGAATGTAAATTTAATTATATATTTATGAATATGAAATTCTAGTTTTGGCCAGGTCAAAACAGCAAGTACATAACATTTATTTCACGGTTGACCATTTCGTTTTATTTTTTTTATAACTAATAAAAGTTGTAGCAATTTGTAACCAGTCTTTAAATGTTTAACTGGTTACAGCTTTAAAGATTTGAATCTTTTAATATAGTTAAAATAGTTGATCAAATTAATCGATAAATTCTAAAACGTATGAAAGATAATATAAAATGAGAGAGCACCTTTCAATAATTTCCAAACGTTTGTTAACATTTTCCATTGATTGAGCAATAGCGACCAGTTGCTGTTTTTCGTTGGACGTTTGCCCATGAGTGCAAAACATGCATTTGAACAACCCTGCCAAGGAAATTTCTATCGATCCTTCCTCATCATCGTTCGATCCTACACCATTTTGAAGAAATCCTAACAAAGATTTCTGTTTTGCTTTCCGCTTCGCTTCCTCAGCTTCCTTTTTCTCTTGTTCAAGTTCCTATTCAGTGAAATATGTATCATAAATTTTTTGTTTAATACTAATGTATGTATTAAATATTAAATAATAATTATTTTTGAAAACACAATTATTTGTTAATGTTAGAAGCAACTCTATTAAGAAACAATTGTAACTTTATTTATAAGTTATATTGATTTCAAAATTAAGCTCTAAATAATAATTTTATATTTCAATAAATGATTATTTTTTTTATAATAAAAATAGAAATTATATAATTACAATAATTTGTAAAGAAAATATTGAAAACAGATAGAAATGCGTAAAAAGATTATTAATTGTGTATATTATTGATTGATTAATTAAAATTATTATCGTTACATTATCAGAGAAATAAAATGTTTTGTACTTTGAAACGATTTTCCCAATATATTTTAGTGTTAATTTAATATGCAAATTTAATTTATCTATTTCAAAATCTACACAAAAATGAAATATATCCTATAACGTAAAAAAATCTTTGAATTTTCTTTTCAAGAATTTTTATTTTCCTGACAAAATTATCTTACTTTACTAAGTTTAAGTAATCCAAATTGAATATACGCACAGTGCATCTATTTAGTTGATTTAAGTGGATTTACTCGCGCAATTTACTCAATTGATATATCTATGTGAATATGTTATATCGATCGAATAGAGATTTAATCGTGATATAATAATAATGATACAATATCAAAGTTCGAAAACGATTTGAATTTAATAAATTTAACATTTCCTATAATAATAAATAAATTTTTGTTAATTTATTTATAATAATTTAAACAATTTAAAAAACTTTTATATTAATTATTGAAAGGTAAAATATATTATCATAAACTAATCGCAATTTTTTTCAGAATTTTTCAGAGTTTTCGTTTCAAAGTACATAAAAAGGAGACAAAAATTACCATTCATGATTTTTAATAATATTTAAGCCATTAAAATCTGAATTTAATCAACAAATTTTTCGAGATGCAAACCGAAGTTGAGTTTAAAAATTCAATTTCTGTTCAACAGTTTAATATAATATTCGTTTTCACCAAATAATATATAAAAATAAATGTGGATAAAGAAATTCAAACAGATCCAAAATAGATTAAGGAAAATCATCATTTCAAATCGTAAGTGTTCTTAATTATATCATTATAATATAATATAATGAATAAAATAATAAAGGAATTAAAATATCAAAAAAGAACTACTCAGAAAGAATAAAAAATTTAATAAAACTTCAAAGTTCCTATAGTATTTCAAAAAATGATTTTACAAATATTATCTTTTGCAATTAATTATATCAAAATATACAATTTTTTTTATTATTAAATAATAATTATATAACTCCTTCTTTTTCCCCCCTTTTATTTTTAGTAATGGTGATTGATAGAGAACTAGAGAAAATTATTTAGTTAAGAATGTAAATAATTACCGCAGCTGTTTTCTTAGTCTTTACTTCCCTCGTGCCCCATGTAATATCGTTCAGATTACAGATTGAATAAATAATAAGCAGCACATACATTGATGGGATGGTAATGAAATATATCAAGCTGTATAGTATACAGTACATCTCCTCGAAGTGAAGTATTGCGGTTATGACTATCTGAGATGTTATTAACATTAGAAATATCGCGGTTGGTGACAATATGCCATCTTGGATGACGTTAATCGCAGTCCCAACAATCACAGCGATCATTACCATTCCGTATACAGTACTGGTTACCGCTGCTATAAAAACCTGATGTGTTAATTTTAGTATCAGTGTGCTTGAAATAGAATTTTTAATTTGGAAGAAAGTTGTAATATTTTGAGGATACATCAAAAATATTAAAAACTTGACTAAATGAGTTCAGTTTTATTAATTTTTAATTTAGTAAATATCAATCATTATTTTGTGTAAAAAAATCTATTCTATTAAATTCTTCTCTATTATGGTTCTATAGTTGATTATTAAATAGTATTATTATATTTTGAATAATTATGTTAAAATAATTTCAAAAACAGAAATTTAATTATTTTTTATGACATTTTAATTCATCAATATTTTACAATATTTTTATAGAATTTCGAAAAATTTAACGTTTGAAGAAATAAGTAAATAGAATATAACGTATGTCTAAGAAAATTTAAAAGGGATTATTTTGATATTGCATATTTTGGAAAATATCACTTATATCATTTATCTACGAGTGTATCCTCAATATATCACTGATTAAATTTGTTTTTTTTGCAAACAAGTTAGAACATACATTTGCAAACAAAAAAGCTGTATTCCTTGCGCGTGGAATTAAGTAAAAGCACTTGCCACCCTGAAGAATCGTTTTCGGTACATGCCTTTCAATCTAGCATCACTACCATTTCCTATTCAATGATATCACGATAAATTTACAATCAATATTTATTAATATCAGGCTAGTTTTTTTCTTTCTATTTTCCCATTAAATCAATACTAGAACAACCAATTAATTAACTGTAATATAATGTATTGAAATCAGAAATCAAAATGATATTTTTGTATGTAAATTAGAAATAAATAATAAATAACTATGACTATTAGTTTTAATTATTAAAAGTATTATTAAATGAATCATAAATAATTTAGTTTAATAATAAAAAAATATTTTTTGACGCATAATGGGGAAAAATATATATGTAAAAATAGATGTTACTACTTTTTGTAAATCAATCAATAACAACATTTTTATTAGATTGGTGATAAAATATTTTTTTTTCATGTGTCGTAGAATTAATAAATAGCTTGTGTGTGTCGTGAGATAAAAAGGCTGTAAATCTTTCTTCTAGACGATCAAACTCTTGATATCCAATAACTACGTCACAAGTTATTACTGGATATGTACAGATCCTCGTTTACAGTAGCTTACTGTCAGTGGCCATACGCAGTCCAAGTATCTGCCATAAATTTTCCCTGAGCCAGTTTCACCCAATCTTTTTTGCATAATACCCTATTCCAATGCCTCGAATATTTTTATGAACTTTTTAGCATGACTACAACTGTGACAAAGTGACGAAGAACGCAACATAATTTTTTAATCGTCAAATATTCAAATTATCAATCAATACTAATAGCAATAGTATTTGTACATTACATGTAATGTTAGGCTAATTGTTCTCGATAATTTTTAAAAAATACAAAAATATCCATCATATTTTCATACAGCATAGATTTGATAGTTCTAGCGTTGAAATGCGAATAAGAGAAAGAAAAATTTGAATACGTAGCAGATGAATTTTGAACGAACCTTTTTGGTCTTTTTCACTTGGACCTCGCGAGTTCCCCATGAGACGACATTCAAATTTATGATCGAGTAGAGGATAAGAAGAAGGTACATGGAAGGTATCGAAAGGAGATAAATGATGCCGGGTACGATACACCAGAATTCTTGTGGATGTAAACAGGCTGCTATGAAGAAGGAACCTGATAAGGCTATCAAAAATATGGCCGAGGGTGAACCGATACCGTCTTCTCCGAGCTGGAGAGCTGTACCTACGATGACGGCCATCATTATCATCGCGTATCCTGTAGATAATATCTGCGCGCACAGAAGCTGAAAGACAAAAACACAAAAAAAAAAAAAAAAGAAAATTGCAAATACGGTCAAAGCGATAAAGCTGGTTTATATATAGATGGATAAACTTACTTGAATGTTCGCTTTACAAGTAAAACATACGAGCATGAAGAGAAGAATGGGAATGATATTGTAGTAGAAACTGGTCCAGTTATCAATCTTAAAAGCAGCCACGAAGGCACCTACTAACATGAGGAAAATCGTACCTGGTCCTAAGATAGTACCACCTGGAAAAAATAACGATGGACGATTAAAGGATTAATAAAATAAAATAAAATAAAAAAAATGATGAACGTCAAATTTTCATCTTGAGATTTATAAATTTACAATTTGATTGTATGTAGTTGCTTTGTGATATTATTTGTGTTTGATTAAAGATTTTTTTGTTTTGGAAAAAGATGAAGATTGACAAAAAAGTCGTAAAAAATATATAATTAATTTTTAGATTTATTTTTTTTAACTAATTTAATGATCCGATTGAAGTAGAGAATAAGAGTGAAATTTTATGGCATATTAAAATTTAGGAATTATATAAAAATTTTAATGGAAAAAATATCAATCAAGAGAAATGTAATATTTTTTAAAAATGTATATAACTGACCCATGAGTAAGATTTGATAAGAAATATAGGGGAGAGAAATATTATCGTTGATTTTAATGGTCCGTTTCGCGTCCATCAGAAGATCCATGATGTTGGCTATGGTGGAGGGTACCCATCGACGACGTTGATTATAAAATTCATTGAAGCCTTCCGGTGCATGAGTATAAGCATCACTAGCTGCTGAATATTCTACCTGTAACATTAATAAAATATTATAAAATCTTACATACAGGTATTCAGAAATTTAAGAAGTAATTCTTCAAATCAAAATATAGCAATCAAAAATCAGAAGAATAAAAATATTCGAAGTGTTTTCAGTTTTATTTTTTAGTTAGTTTATTAACAGTTAGAAATCTTTCTGCGATCTTTTCTTTTTACAAATGAATATAAAGCAACAGAGCATAATGTCTTTTACAAATTCGTGTTAATAAATATAAAATTGTAAAATTAAATAAATTTTTAAATAAGTTTTTATATATTTTACATCACGACCATCGCAATCAAAAAGCTATATATTTAGATTTTTCACGTAAAAAGTATGAAAAAAAAACTAAAAAATTTGCCATCGAAATTCACTCAGAAAATAGAGGAAATTATGCTCTTGAAGGCATTTTTTGATTCATTTCAATATCTCAATCGGTTGCCGAAATATAAAGACTCAAACTTTCTATAACGTTCGAATTAGCACAAAGATTATGAATGGGATCTAGTGACCTACATTTTTTTCCTGGAAAAGCGTAGTACGCATTTCCAGGAATCACGTCTATCACTTGTCTGAAGTTTGGGATAGATCAGTGAGACGAGGTGCGAGGGAGAGATCTGAATAAGTGACGAGGACAAAGATAATAAACGACGAAAAATTAGTCTTTTCTTTACACGACGATATCTCGAGAACCGGATGTCGTATCGAGATAAATGAAAGAGCGTTTTAAAGGGCAAGATTTCGCGTTTCTAATGATCTTTCATTCATTGACGGGAAGTCGCTATCTTCAAAGTTATAGCAGTTCAAAGTTTTCTTACTTTTAATAGAGTTTAATTAGATTTAACATATATGATTAAAAATTCTATTTTCTTTACACAATCATATCTCGGTAACCGGAAGTCGTATTGAGATAAGTGAAAGAGCAATTCAAAGGGCAAAATTCCGCGCTTCTAATGATCTTTCGCTCATTGATCGAAAGTTATTATCTTCGGAGTTATAGCGATTTAAATTTTTCGTAATTTTAATAGAGTTTAATCGAATTTTAAGATTAAATGAACGCAATAAATATTATTTATGGAAAAATATTGCTTATAATATCCTTATTAATAATATCAAAGATTTTAAATTGGTTAAAAATTTTTTAAATCTATTACTTAAAATAAATATATAATAATTTAAATACATATATTCATGATGATTCATTCTATAATCGGTCATTCGGATAAATTCTATTATATTTGATAAGGAAAAAAGGATATTAGAGATTTTTTAAATACATACTCTGTAACCACGTTGCAAGAGAAGTGTACAAAGCCATCGATCTTCCCCTTGATCGTATTGCACATAATGTCTAGCCTCGTCCGATCTTGTCGTGTATTTCTTCATCACATTATCGTCCATCAAAGCTTTTCCTCTGAAAAGTGAGAAACAACCAGGACTACAAAGCACACAACCAATCATGTGCTCCGTTGCTTTTTGCAGCCAATGACCAATAGCGTATTCAAACATTTGATACCACACCATAGGACCTAATGCAATACCGAAGAATTATAAAAAATTATTTCTTCAATCTTAAAATATACGATATAGATATTTATTATATCATTTTTTAAAATTCTCAAAGATTACCTGAACCAACTGGATGAATACGACCACAAGCTGCGCCAAGATTTTTATTCTTCTTCATCAAGTCGACGAGTAATTTTACAGCAGCTGGTTGAAAATCGATATCACCATCGAGAGTTAACAGATAAGTATTTTCTGCGATCACTTCCTTCCGATCAACGCTGATTGGTAGTTCCATCAACCGGTGACCTAGCAAGTAATACATGTACATGACCTGAAAAAGAAATATATGTGAAAAAATATGTGAAAATGTGAAAAAAATGTTGGAAATGTTATATAAACGAATTACATACATGTAAAGCATAAAAAATTTTATATCAAATTTTGTATGTGTAGAAATTCATTGTACATTGTAAATTTTTTTAAAATTGTTCAGTATTAATATCAAAATATTCTGTATTTTTTTAATTATTTGTAAAATTTAAAATGTAAAGTATTAAATACAAAGTTATTTTAGAATCATCAGAATATTGGATTGCTGTGAATTTTTAAAATTTATATAAAAATTCATTCTATAAAATTTTTTCAGAATTAGTTTCTATCTGTTTTTGTATCTTTTTTTAAATATTGATGATTTCTAAGTCTTAAATCATTTTTTTCTCAAAAATTTAAACATCGAAGTAGAAAAATTTCTTGATAATGTCATACAATTTTCATAATTACCTGACTCCATCGTTTTCTATGACGAATCTTGCTCTTGTCTTTCAAATGAGCGATCATTTTCGTTTTACCAGGAAGTGTCCAGACCAATCGACCACCATAAGGTGTTGGATACTTTTTTGGTGCCCTAACATGCATCCGTGTTTGATGGACATCAGACGCAGCCTCATCCAAAGTGCCCACCAATAATTTCACGAATCTGTTCACTTGCGACTCGTTCTCATCGTGATCCGATAACTCGAAGGCATCATCGAAAAAGATGTGAGCTAAAAAGAAATAAATGATAAAAAAAACGAATTATTACATAATAAAATTAATTTAAAAAATATATATATATCTTGAGATCAATCCAATCTCGATTTCCATTATTTGATAATATTATTTTGTTTAACATCTTTATACTGATATTAGAAAAACAAAATTGTACACTCACTTTCGAATTCATAATAATCCGGATCGACAACCTTCAGATATTTTTGGGCTACACGTCGCGCACATTGATCCTCATCCAATCGAAGAATACTTTTCAAAAATTCCATCATTTCTTCCTTATTCTCGTGCCACATCGTCGCGCAAGCATATATTCTAGTTACGTGATCGCTGCTTTTTACAGTTGATGGTGGTGTGGTCGTGCCATCCGTTTGCTCGTATATAGTCTCATAGTCTCCATCTCCTTTTTCTTTCTCTATCTCTGCCAGATCCTGATCAACGAAAATTTTTATATCATTTAAATATACGTATTATGAAAAAGTAATGATCTAATTTCGATAATTTTATGGTTACGTGATAATATTGGCATAAAATATAAAATGATTTGTATAAGAAATTTGAGATTTAAATTAATTTGCATTTGTCTTACAGTTATAATATTAAAGATATTGATAAATATATCGAATTCGTTGTTTTAAATTATTTTATAAAAATATATAATTGTATATGTAACAAAGCAAAAAAAAAAAAACAATGTATCGATTTTCAATATGTAGATTATGTATAAATTGAAATAATATAATTCTGTATAATTAAAAAAATAGAATTTTTCTGATATTTAGCCCTTTATAATATTCCTGCTATTAAAGAAAACGTTGTCCAAGAAAAGTTTATGATTCATGGTGGAAAATAAAACGCAACTGTTTATGTCACGAACATCTGTGGAGAATTCTTTTTTTCCAATAATAAAATTGTTCTACAAAGATCGTCCAATAAATATATTGCAAGAGAAAAATTTAATTTTTTTTATTTTTAAGAAATTCGATATCAATTAAGAATGATGAATATTTTAAAATGTATTATTTCTTTAAGTTATGTTCTTTTTATAATTATAAATGATGCATTTGTTTCAATTATAAATCTTTTTTATTTTTGACGAGAGTATAAAAAGGAATAACACGATTTTATTTTGGAAAAAATATTGGATATTTTTTCCTTAATCACGAAAAACGAAAAATAATTGTAGATAAGAAGATAAAATTTTTTCTTGAATTTAGTAAAATCAAAGCTTCTTAGATATTTTTCTCTGAAGAGACATTAAATGTTGAGATAAAGGATTTTCTTTTAAGAAATTAAGAATCGGTTGCATAAAAATCTCATTGGGGATAAAAGAAGTTGGAAATATTGGTACAACTTTAATTGTTCATAGTACTGTCGAGAATTGCAAAAAACATTTAATCAATACGGAATTAATTCTTTTTATACAAAAAGTAACTTTATTTTTAATCAGAAAAGAATTAATGGAGATAAAAGAAAACAATTACGTACAATAAGATAATGATAAATTCATTTTTTTATAAAATTTAAAATCTTATAATCGAACATTTATACAAATTTTGATCGAAAATTTGAAGAATTAATAATTTCTATAAATAAATTAATATATATATATTAATAAATATTACAATTCAATTCATATACTTTTTTTATCATTTTAAAATTTTAATCTTTTTTTATAAAAATAATCTGCAAATCCTGCTCCCATATCTGCATAAAAATCAGTAGTAGAACATTCTAATATTGCAATATTGAAATAAGTAATTTAAAAAAAATATATATCTATGATGAAAAAATTTAAAGGAAAGAATAAAAATTTCGATGTAAATTGTAATCTAAAATTCAATTTAAAAGTTTTGAGAAATAAAAATAATTCCAAAAGTAAAAGTAATCATCCCTTAGGAATGGTGACCTACAAAGAAATCGAATTGCAAAGTACCATAATTTGCATATAACGTTTCATTATATTTCATAGAGTGTTATAAAGAATCGAAAGATTTGTATATTATAAAAACTTCGAATTTGATTACCTCCACTTTCACTTCCGGTTGGTCGTCCCTTTTCCTGTTCAAACCCATCGATTGATCGATCAGCAATGAGTTGTACATAGGAACAACGAACAATTTCTCCGTGGAAGCGAGACGTTCGCATTTCGGCGTCCAAACATGCAAAGTAATCCAAGTTTGCGACAGTAACCACAGCAGCCATACCCAGGCATATTGCTTCGAAACGAAATCGTTGAGGAAGTGCAATGGTGGCGACTCGTAGAACAAATAATCCGGAATTGTATTGTGAAATATGCAAGGATCGGTGTGTCTTAAACCGCAAGCGGCAATCAATAACGAGATCGATACCGGTATAGTTAAATTTACAGGGAACGCGTAGCTGAAACCTTGTATCAAAATCTTGCACGCGAATTTACCTGAAAGAAAGGCACTATTTTATTTTGTTACTCCTCTTTTTATTTTTACTCTTGTCCAAAAATATTCATCTTTTATAAATCGAATAATTTTTTTTAAATTTAAATTTTTTTTGAGACGATTAAGTATTATATCGATCTAAGTAAATTATATACGTGCACCAATTTTCGTCGAAATCGATTAAAACTATTATTAGCTACGAATGACTAAAGATGATTAAAGAAGTTTTGTCTTTTTATTCTATAATTGTAAAAAATCTAAAAAATTTTACATATTTTGGTGTCTGTAGCTTTTTTATCCGTTTAAATTTTTATTACGTTGACAGTCTATTGCAATTTTTCACGTAAACAGCAAAAGATAGTCATGTTTGGTGCACATTCAAAATAGGATTTCGTTACTATGCCGCATATTGACTTAATATTGAGAGCATGCAGGCGAGATGAATATCAATAAGATCATCATGTGGTATTATTTATTCATAAGATTGTTCGTGTAGGATTTAAGCTAGATTCTTGCTTATATAGCAAGTGACATATATCAGTTTCTTGGCGATTTTTGGATGGCATTCTATTTAAAAAAAATTTTAAAAACAAAAAAATAAAATTAAGAGGATATAAGCAAATATATCTATAAGATATTTTTAAAATATTCAAAAGATTTGTATCTATAACAACATGCAATATATATTTGCAGAATATTCAAAATTCATTTCATCGGGAAGAGAGTCTCGAATAAAATAAATTTACTCGAAATTTATATTCTTATGTAAAATCATCTCTTTTTTATACTAGAAATACTCTGTATAATTATTGTATATTTTTGCTTGAATAATTAAATATTAATTTTGGCAACTACAATCTTTTTCAATAATTGCAAAAATAAATTAATTTAACAATTTTTTAATTATAGAGTTAAATTATCGCTATATATTTGTGAATTTGGACTTACCAAATATGTACATGAAATAGGCGCTGAATATTTGCAACAGTAGAACGTATATGGGACTTTTCACATTTGCCGGTATGGCTATCTTATTATCATCGATATCAACGATGTCAGCGATATCTGTTGTTCTGCCAGTGACATCATACATCGATCTTACAACGATCGTGTGATTTCCAAAAGCGTCGCCGAACATAGTGAATAAATGACCAACAGTTTCACCTTTAATGTATAGTATTAATATTGTGCTGGTAAAGAATGCTATAATTTTCCAAACCGACATAAACATGTAGGTAAAGTATCTTGTCAATTGCATTTCTTGTTTTACTTTTCCTAGAGATCGAACGAATCCTAATAAACAGAAAGAATAAATGAATAAGTAAGTAAAAATTATCATGTTTTTTTCAGAAAATTATTCTATTTTCAGATTTTCATTGATAATTTATTTTTTTTTATACGATGAATAATAAAAATAATATAATTAATCATTATATGAATTAATTTCGTATAATATATAAATATAATTTAAATTTCGATAATTTAAATTACTATTTATTATAATCAACTAATTTATATAATCAAAGTTTGAATTAAGTGAAATTTTTAAATTGAAAAAATTTTATATTAAGCATAAAAAGAAGAAAAGAGAAGTTTAAGAAGAAAAACTTGAGAAAAAGTTTTAAAGAACCTACTTTTATAACAATTTATTTTTCGATTAGCAATTAACCTCGATATCGCCAAAAATATTTTTACTAATATTTTATTAATTAATAGTTTTATAATTTTTCCTTTGGAAATTCTTCTTCCATTTAATATATTCTTCTTTCATTTTATTTCACGATTTTTTTAATGATCTGGCATCGATTTCGTGATACTTACCAATCGAACTTTGCATCGAAACATAATTTTCCCACCAACCGCATGAAACTAGGAATAAAGATGGTGGTATTAGCCACAAAGAGAATCGTGAACTGTCCAACAATGGCCAAAGAACGAAACTTGTCCCTTGAGCGACAAGTGCGGCAATATCGATCAGCACCAGAACAAATCGTGATTCGTCTTTCTTTTTATTCCGAGAAAGTAGCCCTTGAATAAGAGAAAAAAAAATTTATTGTCTTAGTGGATTATCTTTAATATCGATAACTTGAATCGTGTAATCACTTTATTTGAAAAATATTTGAAATGTTGAAGATTTTAAAAAACTTTCTTTAAAAATATATTGCCAAATTTAAAGTAAAGTTAAAGTTATTAAATTTTTTAAAAAAATCATTTTTTTTAATATACTTCGTAATACATATAATACACACAAATATATATATATATATTTTATTATTGATTTAATAATTGGAATTATTTTTTTTTAATATATCTATTATTTATTTTGTTTTTCATGAATTAATTCTAATATTTCTAAATATAATATAAATATAAATATAAATCTATATTTTTTAATTAAATTGAGTAAATATTATTTTATTTTGCCCATTTAAATGCTTATAAAATTATATAATTATAAAATAATATACGTTAAAATTTTTCATACAGCTAATAATCGACAGGATGGAAACCATTCACTTTTGATACTAGAACAGAACATTACGCTGTAATAGAGTGAGGTCAACGCAATGCACTTTCAAAATGCCATATTCGATTGGTTATGATATCCTCCGACTCATACTACTTTAATCATAATGTATTTTCTAATAATAAATTTTTCTTTAGACTTAAATTATAATATCCTCGATATACAAACAATTTTCAGAAATTATTAATTTAAACTTTAAAATATAATAATTCAGTTTTAAGAGATTCAATTACAGAAACTTTCGATTCCAAATACATAATTCATTCATTCCTCTTACATTCTATAGATAATTGGATCTACTTCTACCAATTATGTAAGAAAAATCTTGTTCTAACAGTTGCAAATTATAAAAGAAATTCATTGAAAATTGCATAATTTAAATTAAGTACAAATTATTCATTTATATTTTTAGAATAGAATAATTCGATTGAATTATAAAAAAAAATTATATAAATAATATTTTTACTAGCAAATTTTAATATAATATGTACATACTCGAAAGAGACAATTTGAATATTTTATTAGTAATTATCATTGATATGTATAGAATTATATAAATGATTGTTATAATAAAAAGAGAGAATTATAATTTTTAAAATATAAGAGTGATAAAAAAAAGATTGTACCAATTACGTACCAAATTCCATTCTACCAGTTTCAAGGTATTCGAAAAATTCGATTTGAAAATCGAGTCTATGTTTCAAATTAGGAATAAACTACATACTTTTCCAATTCCAGCAATTTTTTAAAAAGTAAAAAATGTTTTAAACATTCTTAAGAGACAGATATTTTAAAATCTACAAATCTATATAACAAGAATTTCAAACAATTTATTTTAAGATTTTTATTAGAAAAGATTAGAAAATTCCATAAAATAAATAAAACTATTGAAATTATTAGATATTAATTTTATTTAATATAATATAGAATTAATATTATTGTAATATCTCTTATTCATTGAATAATATTCAATATCTACAATAATGAAGAACTTTTTTTAATATCGAACAAAATGTCTGTTTCTGTAATTAAAAAATTTTCATTTTTATATTTTAAAACTTTTATCTTCAGTAATTATCTATCCTCTTATCTATCCTCATCTGAACTTATAACGTAAAAACTTCTTTTAAAAAAAATTTCAAATTCTGGTTCAAACTATTTCTTAATAAACTTAAATTATTCTCCTCCCTTTCTCCCCCATTTCTCTTTCTATTTAATCTATAAAAACTGAATCACAGAAACATTAATCCAAATGCCACCTACGTCTCTCCTATCCTTTGCGCTTCATAATCAAATCGACCTCGTTCTAACAATTACGCAACAAACATCCTGCTCTACCAGTTTCGAGCAGAATTTCATATAAAATTGATCGTTATAAAAGTGAAATGTGCAATCGCTTACCTAGCAGACCAGGTACGAAGCACACGCAGTTCGTCAGCATCGCACCTTTAACCACGTCCAAATCAGGAAGCACCGCCATGAACATCAAAGCCAGACCGATCACGTGGAATGTCTCCATAACGAAGACGACAAGGAAATGGGATGCAGGCGGTTTCTTCCATGATTTGAAGATGCATATTCTAATGCTACGAATTAACGTGCCGAATTCAGGCACCGCGAAAGCGATTATGATGCACCAGATCCACGCTATCCTCTCTTGTTCTGGTAACGTCACTTCAAAATACTTGTCCCGGCCTATGAATCAGAAAAATATATTGGAATATTATTAGAATATAATGTATTCGCATTAATATTCAAGTATCAATAGTTACACAAGAGATTATTGCTCTTGCATTAATATTATATTTATATACCGAGATTGTGCAACAGTTATTTTTAAAAATTAATAAAAAATTATTAGATAATTAAAAATTAAAAAAATAACGAATAAATTGTATATAGTACATTATGATACATTATTATAAATTAATGTAATTGTTGAAATGTATTTTCTAGTGAATAAGATACTATTTATAATTTGTCTCCTGTAAAAGTATCATATTTTCTGGGAAAAATCTGTATATCTCACGTATAAATTTGAGAATATAAAATGTTCTTAAAAGTTGAAAAGAAAAGTATTTCTTTGTTATTATTTTTTGTAAAGAAAGAAAATATTTTTGTAAAATAAAATTTATAATTATAGTTATAATTATTAAAGATATAAATTTTATTTATTTAATTAGTTTTTTATATAATAAATTAAACAATGAGAAAAATGAACATTGCAAAAGTATTAGAAACAAATTAAATTTGACGTTTATATTTAATATAGCGATAAAATTAATTAAATGCAATATTGGAATATTATTTGAAAATTCTTACGATTATAAGAAAATTATAGGTATTAAAATAAATTTTATGTTTCTATTAAGTCTACAACGAATTTAATATATTACAAAAACAATCATTTCAATGTTATTATAAGCAAATAATTATATAAAGTATAATCTCTATAATATCGTAATGTCATTAACACGAGTCAGTATAGATATGATATAACTATAATGTAGATATAATAAACTCTATTTATCAAAATTCCTCTGAATAATATTTTATATAATTGAAATTAATAAAATGAAAGTTTTTATTGATCCTTCCTATTATTTATTCGTTAATTGAACGTTAATTAAAATTTCGTCCTAATAAAAAATAAACTTTAGATAAATGGAATTTTATTTTATTAATAGCAATAGAGATATTATGTAAAAATTATACACTAATCTAATATATTTAAAAATTAAGATCTTGAGTAAAAGATCTTTATTTTATTAAAATTTATTAACACGATAGAATACCGAAATAATTATTCAAAGTTTAATTATTTAAATGATCAATTATCCGAACATAAGACAATCTATTTAAATTTATTTAAATTAGGATATCTAACTAATGTTTATATTCTGGAACATGTATCATGGAATTTAAAAATAATTAATTCATTTTTTGTAATACTAGATATATATTTTTTTCATATAATAAACGTATTTATCAATTATTTCACAAGATTTTGCAAGAATTTAAAAAATTTTTTTTAATTACTTTCATTATCTACAATTCAACTATTTCCTAGAAGCCATTCGCTCCGCTTCAACCTGGTTTCACGTACTTTCTCTCCTTTGCGTGCACCAGTGGTATACACAACGAAAAAGTTCCGTCGTAACTATAATGCGAGCACGATCCACTTTTTTACGTTACTATATGACAGTTTCCATGAACGTTTAAGCACAGTGTAAATCAATGATGCAGCGTTGTGTTTGTAACGTTTCTATAATGCAATAAAGTTATTTGAAACGTGTCTGACAATGTGCAAATAAATTTTGAATTAATATAATTCTAATTTTTCTTCAAAAATTTTCTCAATATTCTTTTTTCTCTTTTTTATGATGAAACGATAACTTATTAAATTATTTTCCGACAATTTGTCTTTCCAAATATTCATTATTACAATCTAGCTTTTTATTCATCTATTCATGACAAAATTATAATTAAAATTAATTATTTTTCTTCAAAAATTTTTTTAATATTCTCTATCTCTTTATATACGAAAATTTACTATGCTTAAATGATTCATTATTAAATGATTCTAATTTTTTATAATTGTTTTTTTCAAATTGTCACAATCTCTTTAGTTTATTGGATTTAACGTTCAATCATTATCTTCCATAAGATTATAATATAAATAAAATTGTTTTAGAATATATAGATATAAAAAAATATATAGTGGAAATTTATAAATGTATCTGTATGACATTGTATGTATGAAATTGAAAATTTCAAATATTGAATAGTATTAAAATAACATATATTAAGTAATAATATTTTAAAAATAAATAGATGTTGATATTAAAATTTTTCACATTAAATTTATGTTTTGTTAATTTTAAAATTATTCCTATTTAAACATCGCAAATTTTTTTTTTCGCTGAGATAAAACTGAGAAATTGTGACACGTGTACGTAAATTCAAGAATTTTATTATGATAAAATTCTTTTTTTTCCTTTCTTCATTCAGATTTATATTCGCCATTTTCTCAACTTCGTAACGCAATGCAAAACTTTGAAAATAAATTTAAAGTGAAGATAAAAATTCATGGATCAACAAGTACAAACGCTTAAATCTTTTTTTTTTCTTCTCCCTTCTCGTGTTCATCATTTCTCCAATTTTTCCAACTTTAGAAAATAGATTAAAACAAGACACAAGATATAAGTAATACTCGAGGCTATCTAAGGCGCCAATAATCGTCTTAGAATTAATTAAAGATCTCGTGATAACGGTGGTATGCACGAAAGTTTAATCACTTACCAATATCCCTGTTGCAGTGAACGATCGTTCGATTGGCTCTCAACTGTGATGTCATAAATAGAATAGTTCCTTTGGCAACTACACCGCTTCCTAGTACTATCACGAAAACTAATAGGTACACGATCACCTTCGTTATCTGTACCGTCACTTCCAGGCATCTTTGATTAGCCATTGAACCGGAATCGATCTTCGGCGGTGGATTCCGGAAGACGTCCCATGCTTTTGTTTCCACAACTGTTCTTTGACTGGAAATATTGGAAAATAAAGAAACGCGATTTAATTAAGAATCAATAGCTATTTTATCATTATTTTAGAAAACTTTTTTTGAAGACTTTTCTTTTCTATGCAAAAATAATGGTGAATATATTCGATACTTATTATTACTTATTAAAAAATATATGTATGGTTTCTTTGTTTCTTGTGCAATAAAACAATATGAATGTATATTGTTAATTTTATAATATTATATATACTATGTGAAAGAATAAAAAATTACACATAAGTTAAGAAAAATTGAAAATATTTGGTGATAATTTGTGTAATAATAATTCTTTTTGAACGATTAATAAAATAATTAAATTCTATTGAAATGAAAAATGTATAATTTCATTGTCAATGTAGTTCAATGTATAATATCATTTCATGTCAAGCATAAAAATAAAAATATATTATAAATATAAATATTTTAAAATTTAAACATTAAATAAATAAAGGTATATAAATTAATAAAAAAAAGTTTAATTCTTGGAAAGCAAGCAAAATCAACAATTAAATGTCGTCTATCATCCTTAAATTCCTTTAAACAACATTTACGATTTTTCTTGGAATGCATTCGCTTTCTTTCTTATCTTTATCGATATATTTTACATAGTATATGTATATATACCTGTCGCCATAGTCCTGAGTCAATGGAGTACTCTCACCGTCTGAAAAATCATCACCATCTGGCATTGTTCCATTGCCTGGCATCATTCCATTTTGTTGTTGAGTTTTTTGACATTCTATAAAAAAAAAAAAAAATAATCAATTTTTTTAAGAAATGGAAAAATAGAAATTTTATTATCTTATAAAATTATTATTTTTTTAAAAATTGAAGAAAGGAGATTATATACTATCTATCGAACAATACTAAATAATTTTTAAAATATCTAATAATTTTAATTTTTTAAAATCCTACATTTCTTATTAATTATAATTTATAAGAATTTTGAATATTACAATATGGAAATTTAATATCATAGATCGAGAATGTGAAACCAGGTTTCGATGAAAGTAGCGTGTGCTTTTTTATTCGCCAATGACCTTCGTTTTATGGCTTAAGTAATTGGATCCTATTAACTTTAAATATCACGTTATAAAACGTTATAAGTCAAATTTGACGTAGAGTTTAACGAAAGTATTAAATAAATTCGTTAAAATTAATTAAAAGATCATTTACATTTTTTTTTTATTTTATCTTTTCTATTTTTAATCTAAAACAACGAGACAATCATACAATATTGTTTAATTCATTATTAATTGTTTGTAGGAAGCACACGCTAATAATTTATAATTATTTGCCTGGTTTTGAATTTGAAGTTCTAAGCTAACGTAACTTTGGTATTTTAAACGTTCTTGTTCATATGAATAATTCCACGTGAAATGTAAAGTTAGGCTGTTTTGAATAATAACAAGAATTACAAATTATAAAATATATTTCAAAAATTAGTTTCTAGAGAGATTATGTCACTGGTGTATTAATTGCCGTTTTAGAATAAATATTGACCAGTTATTTCGAACACCTGTAAAAACTTTTATGCCTCGCATTTTTTTATTAAATATTTAAAATCTAAAGATAAGAGATATATTGAATATATATTCTTCAATCAAAGAAAGAAATTAATAGCCTTATTTTCTTCATGAGTTATCATTTTTCGTTATTATTTTGAATAATCAATGAAATTCGAATTTTATATTGTTTCTGAATTTTTTATTTTGTGCAGAAATTATTTAAATATTTTTATTGCTTATGATATGAAATTGTGAACAATTTATTTAAATTTTTAAATAAATTAAATGTTTTGTACACAATGATATTTGCATGATATTTATTTGTTACAGAATAACACATTAAATCATTTCAATTGTATCAAAATTTTTAAGTAAATTTACAAAAGAGATATGTCATAAAGTATTTAATTCTTCAACAAATTTTATAAAATATTTATCTTTTGTATTATTCAAGTACGAAAATATTTTCTCATTTAAAACGGATGGATAAATATCATTGTAAAATATCAATTTTGTATTATATACTTTTTTTACTAGATTATTATTATAATTATGTTTATTATTAAAAATCATTATGTGAAAAAATATTTTTTAATCATAAACATTATCTATATATCTTAATATTTAATAAGAAAAAATTATCATAAGATTTGATAATTCAAGTGAAGATTTCTTGTGCGGTCTTCTTATTCTCATTTCTTTTAAATATCTTCTCTTATCATTTACAATCATCTTTAAAATTAAAAATAAGAGAAAATGTCGAAGAAAAGTTTTTCGTTTTCTGAAATCGTGTCAAACGGAACAAAAATAGTTATTTTAATAGATAAAAATTCTTTTTCCACGTTTTTTTTCCGCTGCAAAAAAAAACGGCAAATCTCTCTCGTTATCTGACATAAACGAGAAACAATAAAGAAAGTGCGCATGTAGAACACCGCGTATTAAAGAAGAAAGTTGGCCGATAAAAAGAAATCTTATAGCTGCAAATGCTACGTAACGATCGAGAAAAAGAAGAAATAGAAATTCTTGGTGAAACGAACATAATCGATATTTTGTATTGGAACTTTAAATATCGAATATTATCGAAATAAACATGGATGATGAAGTGAATGTTTTGTAACGGATCAGTTGGCAACCGACTTTCTATATTTCTCGCCACGTTTTAAATTGTAAACTCGGCTAAAACCGCATTTTCGCGGATGAAAATCGGTTTATATTGGATTATATTTACATATGCACTTACTTTCTATAAAGAGGCTTTCTACTTAAGCTTATTATCAGATTGTAAATATTTATGCACTTTTGGGAAATTTAAACGATATATGCAGAAATTAATACGATATCCATTATAGTATATTTCATTAATTTTACGATAACATGAAGTTTTAATTCATATTAAAGAGAGATAATTAAGTTAATTAAATAAAAATTTGATAATTAAACTATAATAAAATTATTGGTAATTTTATAATTTTCGTTATAATATTTATATATAAATTTCTGAATATTGAATTGTGAATCTTGATGAAATTTTTGGAGAAAGTAATTTTCGAAAAAATATTTAAATTTAGAATTTATCCTAATTTATTCTCAAAATAAAAATAATCCACAAAATTGAAGATGAAATTTTCCTCGATGTTTTGTAAATTACTCGAGAAAAGTTGTTGAACGAAACGAAAATTGTATATTTTTAATAAAAAATTGAATATTGAAAATAAATTTAAAAAAATATCATTTCTCTTCTTTTTTTAAAATCCTATTTTAACTAAAAAAATATTATTTTAGTTCCATATTTAATCACATGTATAAAAATATTAATTTGCATAGATATCCACAATCTATTAATTAATGATTCATCGAAAGCGGAATAAAAAATTAGTTGATTTTACAAATATTCGCCTTATTATCTCTACAGAATCATTCATATGTATCTGATTTATTGCAAAATCATTAGTTATTAAGTAATTATGCACATCATTAAAAGAACAAGATATCAAATCTTTCAAGAAATGAGTGATATTATTTCAATGGAATTTATTAAGAGATGTATAAGAAAATTTCAGTTTCGATCTTTGTGACTTTACAACATATTTTTCTACATATATCACAAAATACCATTTAAATAAAAATAACGAATTAAAATAAAAAACTAAAATAAAATAAAAATTTTTTTAATATTACGAAAAATTTAATTTTCATTTTTTAAATTTTTTATTATATTAAAATTTTAATAAAAAAATTAAGTTACGATGATAACCTGATATAGATAGAAAATAAATATGTAACACAAATAATGTATCCATAAATATTTAAATAAAAATATAACGCTTCAATGGGTTCAATGCAATATGAAACTTAATAAAAATTTATATTCATATTCAGCTTGAAACAATATCCAATATCCAATATTCTGCTAAGATTGCAATTAATAATATCCTATATTTGTTATCGTAAATATATAAATCGTGTTATTTAATTTTGAATTAATTAATTTCATTATTGCATGCAGTAAAAATATGGAATACATACTAAAATTAAATAATTTAATCTAACTGTGGTCACTTATGATTTATAACGAATTATAACGAATCGAATTAATTTAATATTAATATTTCAGAGTAAATTTTTGTATTTACTTACGATATAACGTAAAATCAATTATCAGAATGAATTCTTTCTTTGCACTTAGTACTTCATAATTCATAAATCGCGATCTATAACGTAATATAATTACATTATCATATTCTATAAAGATATCACGATAGTTTTCTCGTTACTTAATTTAAAAAGAAAACTAAGCCATGATAATAAAATCACGTTAACTTTTTTAATTCCTCGTGTGAGACGAAAGAGTTAAACTTAATCAAATATTACTGAATCAACTTTGCATAATTCAATCATCAGTTATTTCATTATAATAAAACCACGAAAAAATTAATTTTTCAAATTTTCCTTAAATCTTATATGAAAGAAAAAAAGATTATTCAAATATTACAATCAAATAACTCAAAAAAAAAAAGAATTAAAAACATTATGATCTATCTCACTAACCAAACACAATCATACTCGATTCATCGAATCATAGTAAGAAAGTAACCTCTTCTCTGCATCCTTATTCTCGTCATCTTCGAATCGTCTTACATATGTTATCAAAACGTTTTCCCAGGCAGAACGTTTCAAAAATCATCGTGTCACACTTCGTTTAACAAGTGTATCCTACTCGAGATCTATAATTATCAGTCTGTAGTAATTGATCTGAGTCTGCCAGAAGGGATAATCGCCGCTATTAAGAGGCGAAATAGGGCAGAATGGAGGAAAGAAGCGATGAAGGAACAGGAGAGGAGACCGTGGCTCCTCTCGTTCGTTTCGATCTCGACACGGACAACGAGAAGGCGGAGGCGCACCTTTGTTCGTGGAGGTCTGGGCTTTCTGGTTCCTGGACACTGAAAGTGAAAGGGAACGAACCGTGAAAGATAACGTAGCAAGGACGTCCACTGCAACTCGCCGTGTCGGTTGCTGCCCTCGAGGCACGTCACGGATTCGTTCGTTCCTCGGTTCCACCCCCTCAACACCTCTCACGCCACTCTGTCCTCTGTTCACCACGTTCTTTTCTACCTCACCCTGCTTTGTCCCGCACTCCTTTTCTACGATCCTTCCACGTCCAAGTTTCTTGATCGAGAATTCTTTCGATTTAGGATTCCGCTAAAATAGATTTTTTTTTTTAAGATCTCAAGCTCGTTTAAAAGACCTTTGATTCTTTGATCTTTTCATTTTCGAAGTAAGTAATTGAACATCGATTGTTTTTCTCAAATTTTTTCCCCCCTTTTTCTTTGTTTCCGTTAACTTTCATTAGATCTTATTCTGGCACGAGTGGAAGGTCATTCGTGAGGCTTCCTCCAGTGCTCGCTACGATGTGGTACTTTGAATATTTCGTGAAGAATTAAAGATTTTTAGTTGTAGTGAATTAATAAAATTGATTTATATAAAGTTGAAGCTCGTGAAATATTGAACATACGAAAGTAATGAAATATCTGATATATTAGATTTTTATTATTTTTAATATTGTCTAAATGTGAATTTTAACTTTATCATCTGGATTTTAAGAATTCTCTTTGAAATTAAGAGATCAAAATTTTAATGATACTTTCTTTAAATTTTTATTTATACTATTTTATACTTTTGCCCTTTCCTTGTTTCTTCTTTTATGCTAATCTTTAGTAACTAGTAAAGTTAA